ACACAATAAAATAAGTAGATTCTACTCCCCTCTGGTTTCTATGAAAAAATAAAATTCAGTATTAAAATTGAGTGCTTGGTTGCTGTGTGGACATTCTTCCTGGAAGAGACGGAGAACTTTGGAGCTGGAAAGGACCCATGAGGCAATCACTTGGATAGATGAGGAAATGGACTCAGAGAGCCCCTATGGCCCATGATGGCTCACCTCGTCTGTCAGCAGCACAGCCAAAAGAAGACTTCCTAACCATCCTGCCATCTATTCCTTAGGGCTTGCCTCTCCATTCTATGTCCTCTACCTCTCCTTCCCCAGAAATTCTGTAGGTACCAGAGCCACTAAGAAGCTCCTGGGCCTCAGGGCACCGCTCTCAACCAGAGAGGTCTTTTTATTCAAGTTAATGAAAGGAAAGTGGTTCTTTCCTCAAATACTTATTTAGGGACTTGGAGTTTAAGTGGACGCCTGTGGTAGCAATTAACATTTTCTAATCAAGGAGCAGCAAAAATAAAGCCAAGATTAATTGTTGCAGTCTTAGGTTTGCAAGACTTTAATCTTGGATGAAGGACAATGAAGGAATTATAGAAGGTCTCCATGTAATAATCTCTTTTCTAAAAAGGAAGAAGCTGTTTTGCATCCAGAACCTTAACTCAGAGGTGAGACGTACCTCAATATTGACAATGTCACATTCCAAGTGAGCCAGAGTAGATGCCAAGGTTTTCGTTGGCTATAAACACCTCTGGCCATTTCAATATGTATGGGATCCTTAGAAGCAGACCCTAAGATGGGGATTCATATGCAAATTATTTATTAAAGAAGTCTTCCCAGGGACTAGGGAAGCAGGACAAGGATGGAGAGAAGCCAACCTCAGGTGTGCTCTCTGGTCAAGTCCCAGACTCAGCCTGGTCCACAAGGAAGCCCTGCAATGTCAATCATACCTCAGAGTTAGTCCACACCTGAGGCAGGGGTGCTGCCTTTCACCCCCCAGCACCAGTCAACCATTGGTTAAGGGCCAACCTGGTCAAAGTGAGCTCCCAGTCAGCCCTAGTTGTGTGAGTGCAGTCACCTAGCGTAGTCTTCCAGAGTGAGTCATGGGTGCAGGCCAGAAGTGGAGAACACAGGGCCAGGGATAGACGCATGAATCAAGGAGGGATGGAGGAGGTTGGGGGTGGGTACCATGAGGGTCTGGTGGACCAAAATTTGGACAGAATCTTGATGTCTTCCGCCATTCCATTTATGTCTTCCCAGGGCTCCTTATCCTGATGTCTGGGTTGGGATGTGTACTGGACATCTTTTGGTTTTTGGTTGTCCAATCTCCATTCCCCCTTTCCTTTGATAATTGCAATTTAATTATTATTAAAGTGATTTAGCAATACTAATGTAATACTAATTTCAGGAAATCATTCCTCTTAGTCTGTATCTGTTGGCAGGGATGACTAACCCAAGACCCAGGCAGTCAGCACATTCCTTTCCCTCCGGCCCAGTGATCGGTTCAGGGATGGTGCCTCAGTCAGGAGGCCGATACAGGGAACAGGAAGGACTCCAGCAGTTTTTAAACAGAAAGATATTTAATGCAGGGAAACAAATGCTTCCAAAATCACTAGAAGGGTTGGCGGAGCAGGTTCTTTTGCCCACCAGGGGTTGAGCAAAAAGGTAGAGAGTGAGGAGCAATCACCACATTCAAGAGTGTACGCAGTCACTGCAGTCCAGGCTTCAGAAGCTTCCTGACACCCCTGAAGCTAGAGACCGGACACTGGGACGATTGTCCTTGGCTAGGAGCCACAGCTGGAGCAGCAAGAAAATGGTACCTCTCTACTGCTGCCTTCCAGATGTCATGCTAGAGCATCTGATGGGTGGCACCTAATTTGCATACAGAACCCTAGCTAAGCAAGAGGCTGCAGATGTCGATTTTCATTTTGCAGCTTTTACAGCACAGGGAGGCATCCTAGAAGGGGTCAGAATGGGCTCTGAGAGCCGGTTCACCGTGAACCCCCACAGATGGGCGCATAGACCAACTCCAGCAGCAAGGGTGAGGCCTTTGATTTGGCCATAAGGGGAAGAGAAGCTCTGTTTCCTGCTGGATGTGAACGTGAGAAGAGGTGGGTTTGGAGCTGCTGGAAGCCAACTTGACGTCATATAAGGTCTGAGAACGAAGGCTGTGCATAGTGGAGAACAGAGCCAATTTGAGAGATCTAGAAGGACCCAGTCTTGATGATGCTGCTTGAAGTCTGGAGAGGGGAGGTGACTTATGCAAGGTCACATAACATGAGAGGCAGAGCTGGATCTCGAACACCAGCTATCTGACACCCAGTGCAGGCTTTTTCCCATCATGAGGTCCTTGGCCTCCACTTAGAACCTGTCATCCCTCCCTCAGCCCAGCAGCACTCCTACCAGCAGCTGGCAGGGTTTCACAGCTCCTGTTAATTAAAGGAGCTGATTGGTCTGACCCCTCCGAGCAAGCAGAGCTGCCTGTAGAGGGGCCTTAGCAGGAAAGCACTCAACACATTTTCGTGGTAGACCTAGTGGAGCCTGACGTGTATGAATAACTCATAACTGGAGCCTGGCTAGTGAGGAGCTCAGAGCTGGCTTTGAAAACACCCTAGGGGTTCTCTCCGAGTGGCACGCTGAAATGTGGCCACACTGGTTCAGGCTATTTTAAGCTTCAGAAGCGAAGGGAGGCGAGATGGGGTGAGCCAGAGGGCTCTGAGAGCGAGATGAGTTCCAGACCAGCTTTCTCTGTGCCTCCAAGGTCACCTTGGGCCCTTACCCTGTCACCTGTGACCTTGCTTTCCTCTTCCCTCTCCTGTCTGGAAGGATGGGAAGGAAGGACCCTTCTGACCTTAGGGGGAGCAAGCTGAGAAGGAGCGGGAGCAGCGGGTGGGAGCGCCTGGTGCAGTGAGCCTCAGTCAGACAGTGAGATGGGCAAAGGTCTTGTCTGCCAGATCCTGAGTGCTTCCCCTTACATTTGTTTGTTTACGTGATTTTATTTAATCCTCACAACAACCCTTTGAGGTCCCTACAATCATTATCTCCATTTGTCACAGAAGAAACCAAGGCTCAGGGAAAGTAAGTACCTTGTCCAAGGGCCCAAGGAGACACAGCGGAGCTGGGATTTGAAACCAGGTGGGTCTGCATTCCTAACTACCGTGCTGCGTGGCCTCAAAACCCAACAATAATCAGAACTACCCTTTACTACACAGACGTTACTTTCTATTCCTCCTAACAGCTCCCATTTTTCAGATGGGAAAACTGAAGCTTGAAGAACTTAACAAATCTGCCCGAGGACATGCAAGGACATGTAGTCATCGCCAGCAGTGCCCGGATGGAACCCAGACCCTCTCCCTCCACGGCCCGGATTCCTGCCTTTATACTGAGCGCAGATTTTAGTTCTCTGAAACCATACCACAGGCTCTCGTGGGACACCTACTCCAATCCCTCCTCATTTTACACTGAGAAAACTGAGGCTCTCAAAGCTTGGGTGACTTGCTCAAGGTCACATAGCTAATGGCTGCATGGGCCGGAATCCAGATTCTGGACTCTTCAGCTGTGTGTAAGCAAACTCTTATTTCCTGACTCACATCATAATCTCAGGGATGTTTTATCTTCCATTCTAGCTAATCTTCACTGGGCAGGGACTTCTACCACTTTGGCTTTAGGTTTCTCTATCAGTTCACCTTACCCTCTGTCGTAGTTAATGAGCTGTAACTGCACAAAGAGGAGACTGAGTCAGGGTTTCTGTAATTGCGAGGGACACTTTGATAAGGAGACCGCTTTTCAAAACACGAACCCTCCTGCAATTCGGTGTTGACACCCACAATCTTTTGCCACTGTGGTCCTGAGCACAGCTACACTGAAACTCGACAAAATTCCTCTAGGTACCTCTTTGTATTTTCCTTACAAACACTTGTTGGAAGGGGAGAGGGCGCCTGGGAGGGTAAGAAGTGGGAGAGACAAAAAGCCTAGAATCTAGGAACCAAAAGGCATTTGATGTGATTTGGCTTTTCTTGAGTATTTTAGATGATCTAGGTTTTTAAAAAAATTTTAATTTTTAATTGTGGTAAAGTAGATGATACAGTTCTAAATAATATAAGTATGGCAGAAAGCCACATTTTAATTCCTTGATTGACTCCTCCTTTTATGAAATTAACAAATATTTACCAAACATCTCCCCTGTTCTGGGCACTATAGGAGCCAGGTGCTGAGGATCCAGAAATGAGTCAAACAGGGTCCCTGCTTTCCAGAGCCCACAGTCTAGTGAGAGAGGCAAATGTGGGGTGCACAGCCCCAAAACTGTGTACAGTGCTGTGACGTGGACAGGATCAGCATCAGGACAAGGTGGGTGGCCATCAGCGATTCCGTGGGTGGGGAAGTGTAGCATGCTTGAGCTTCACAGAGGCCTGGGAAGCTGCACAGGTGGGAGGTGGGGCGTTTCCGGCAAAGGTAATGGCTTGTATAAAGGCCTGTAGGTGGAATGAGCGACCTGGGGTAGTGGCAGTGGGGAGAGCTGTTTGGGAGGGAGAGATGAAGTTAAAGAGCTTGGCGGGTTTGGTTTTGAAGAGCCCTGCATGTTATGGAAAGGAATTTAAATTGTCTCCTGGAAGCAACGAAGAGCTATTGAAGAGATTGAGCAGGAATGTGACATGAAGGGGTTTCTATTTTAGAAAGTCACTCTGGCTGCCGTTGGAGGATGGACTGGATGATTAGTAAGACCAGCAGTGGGGAAGCCATTTAGGGGAGGATGTCAATGACCAGAAAGAGGAGTGAAATGACACCAAGCATCTGCACTAAGGCCCAGAAAGAAGAGACAGAGAAGAGAGGATGCATGAACTGAGATATTTAAGACGAAAATAAAGGAGTCAAGAATGGGTGCTAAGCTTTTTAACTGGGTGTTTTGGTGGCTGATATGCTAAAAAAAAAGGGAAGGTCTTTTAAGAAACTAAAAAAATATATGCTATAAGTTATTGGTGTACAGGAAGTTAGGAAAATAAAGAACAAAAAATACCCAGTAATCCCATCATTATAGCACAACCAGTGTGCATATTTTGATTTATTTCCTTCCAGTATTTGCCCCTAGTTTGTAACCCAAAGTCAGTTTCTTAGGTGACATTTCTTCTTGAGTGTTGGGTGGTTAATGGGAAACACTGTATTCTTCCTCAAGCCTGTGAAAGACTCACTTTTAGACCCACTGCTTGAGGCTCCATCCTCATTTCTTATTTTGAAGGAGGCCAAATTTCTTGCCTATCTACGAGCCAGTCACTTTGATCCAGGACTTGATCGTGAACGTTTCATAGTTTCATTTGTTCCATAGCTTGGTGCATCCAATTATTTGTTCCCTTCTACCTCCCCACTGGCTATAAAAATTATCAAGATGATGGAATACCTCATGCCTTTGTGTCCTGGAAAATTCAGCTTGGGATGCCAAGAAATGACAGTGTTCAAATTAATCCTTGCTGGAGCCTGTGCGGCCCACTAGTTGAAGAAGTTGGTGGGGAGAGCATAGATTTTTCATTTAGCACTCTGGTGTTTTCACTGCCGGGATATCATCTGAGCACAGTTCAGCTTCCAGCCTTGCTCCACAGGGAGTGTCCAGCCTGGAAAATAAGAAGTAATTGATGAGAAGCCTGCATTAAAGTCATCCTGGCTCTAGCTGGCTCTCATGGATCAGAACAATTCAGTATTGGCAAGCTCCATGTTTTGCATAGGCATGGAGATAAAGTTGCAGCCTTCTTTGGGAAAGGTACTATGCAGAATGTTAGTAGTGTTGGCTTTGAATGGAAGGCCTCGAGGGGACAACCAGACAGTGGCCTTATTCTGTGTTATCAGTTTGGAGGGTGATCTTGGGCAAAGTAGACCTTTGACGGAGAGAGGCGAGTGTGGAAAGAGAGCCAAATCAGTTTGCTAACCTGGAGCGTAGCTGTGGTTTCAATGGAGCGTTGGCGAATACGAGGCCACTGGATTCATTCGTTGGATTCTCCGTGTCCTCCATGGCCACCAGGGGCCTTCCTTCTCCTGGGCAGCCTCTGGGAGTAGATGCAATGGTCAATGAATCCAGGGCAGGAGGGAGATTAAAAGTGGGAGAGGGATAGTGTAGAACTGGGAATGTGCTGATGACCCAAAGCAAGAGTTGGAACCCTTGTTATCTCTCACATACCCTTGTGCGGGGAGGGCAGGATGGCATCCAACAGCATGTTCTCTGGGGCTTTGCCCAGGCTAATTTTACATGACAATGGCTGCTCTATGCTCTTTCATGGAGCATTGGAATGACTTTGCAGGCCCCGTGTGGCCTGGCAGTCAGAGTTGGAAAAGATTCCCTCTTGGACTTCCGGCCCAGCTCAGTAGCAGGCAAGGGACACAGGCTGTGAATTACCCAGGAGGCCAGATGAATATTTCCCTTGGCTTCTCCCACTGTTCTTACAGAAGGGGGCCTTTACCGGTCACAGCAGGGGTTGTCCAGGGCACCAGGGGTCACTGTCCCTCACCACAGGGCTCTTTCATGCAGGCTGAAATGAAAGTTGGACTTTTCACTCCATATGGGTCATTGCGAGATTTTGCAAGACAGCATTTCAGAGTGTTTGTATGGCTTCCGGAGAGCCTTGCCCTTCACAGTCTGTCCACGTGAAAATGCCCAGTGCTGCCCGAGAGGGAAAGACGCCTGGGAGCCATGCAAGGTTGGGCGGGGCTAGCAATAGTGGGAGCTTAGTGGTCAGCTGAGTTGCAAGCTGGTTTTGAAATTTACTGGTCTCTTTAAAAACAGATAAGAAAAACCAAATGACTTACTATTTTTTGGAAAGGAAATCACTGATAAAGGAATTGTGACATAAACAAAGAAAAATGTAGGCACTCTGTTCTTTTGCGAGCAATAAAGGCAGCAAACAGGGAAATGCCAGAAGCTGTGACCCATAGTGAGCACTCTTTTCTCATATCTCATTTCCATTTGCATACAAAGGGGAGATTCTTGTTTGCAAGTCGCCTTCGGAAAAAGATATAACTCAGTGAAGGAAATGAGCTGTAATTATTATTATTATTATTATTTTAGTTTGTTCTTTCAATCAAACTAGCTCTTTCAATCAAAATGACCCTTAAGTAGAGTATCCTACTGCAGCTTAATCTCTTATGTCAACATGCGGCCGGAGAGCCTGCCCAGGCCCCACATTCACACCTAGGGCATAGGCACCTGGCTAAGAATCCATGTGGAAGTCAATCTCTGTTAATCCCATGGGACCCACTCACAGGGCTCCTAGGCTTCCTTTGTTTAAGTGTGTGGTTCCTGAAGGCACAGACAGACCAAGTAGAACTTTCTCGATTCTTTAGGTAGCAAGTGACAAAAAGCAAATTTAAACTAATTTATGATCACACGAAAAGGGTAGGAAGGGGGGCTTGATATTGATATTAGTCACGTAGCTAGGAAGTGGCAACTTCCCCACTCCCCACCCCCAAATTTTTGTTCCAGAAGAAAGGGGAAGAGGAACGATAGGGCAGAGATAACAGATGTTCACAATCTCTGCCCTAGCACCCAATGAAGACAATAGCATCAGCTTCCTACATACCCCCACCCCAAGATGCTACTGTTTATCTGTTGTCACTGGGCCATCACCCACTCAGCTCTTCTTTGATTTCAACTCATTTTTTCCCCATTTTGGGCACATGGCATACATCCCAGTGAAAATCCTGGTCTTCCTGATGCATATTCTAAGAAGGCCAATGTCCGTAAAATAGTTTTGGACTTGTAATAACTCAGGAGTAGATGGATAGGATCCTGCAGTATTAAAATCTTGCATCAGGGCTGAAGTTGGTGCAGCAAACAGATGCAACTAAAAGTTCTTTCCTTTCCATCTCAGTAAATCGCCTGTTACCAAGATTCCAAGGAGTGGGGTTTTGACTAGAGTCAATTTGCATTGCTTCCGATCATCTAAAACCCCAATAATTATTGACTTCTTCCTGTGCTGATCTAGGTAAGGAATAGAAGAGGAGACTGTTTTGATTTGACTCTTGATTGCATGGAACAGAGACCTACCTAGGTGAGCTCAGATACAGATTCCTACAGTATAATTTCATGGCGATCCAAGAAAAGGGCTGCATGAACACTGGGCGTCACAGAGAATGGAGGTGGGAAATGACTCTAGATTCATGCTAGGCATGTCAATAGTAGGTTTCTTCCTCTTCATACCACTCACTAGAAATGCGTGTGTTTGCTGAGTTCTATATCCTGCTAGGCCACAAGAAAGGTGTTCACCTGGTTCACAGCTATGTTCCCAACAAGCACCCCAGAGTGTGTTCCTTGTATTTTTGTTCAATGAGTTAATGGATCTTCACCTTGTGCTCTACCATTTCAATGACCAGTTAACTCTGTGTGTCTGCTTTTATCAAGTCTGTTCTCACCTAGTTCCTCTTCTTACCCACTTTTTTCTCCCATAAACTCTGGATTGCACCTGATGCATCATGGTCTTTTCAACCTCTTCTCCATTATGACCTTTCGTCAGTTAGCTTCCACTAACTGACCAATTCTATCCTAATTTATTAGTTCAAATTCTTGAGATGGAGGGAGAGAGATAGAAAGAAAAAGAGAAAACCAATTGCCAGATCATCTGTTTGTACCAGGTCATAGGTCATGAGTCAACCAGAAGATTGATTGTCTTTGAGCCTGATGCCCCCTTTGGCTATCAGCTGAAGTGGAGGACAGAGGTCAGTGTCAACTGGTTCAAAACATAGGTTCCTATGCAGCAGGGTCTGTTTCTCAAAGAATGGAGTATGAGTGTGCCATGCAATGTTTGACCTCTCTTGTAAAATAAGACATAGTCTCTAAAGAACTCACTATAGCTTGAGAGATAAGACTTATAGGGGAGGGGCAGGCCCCGTGGCTGAGTGGTTAAATTCGCACACTCCACTGTAGTGGCCCAGGGTTTCGCCGGTTTGGATCCTGGGTGTGGACATGGCACCACTCATCAAGTCAGACTAAGGTGGCATCCCACATGCCAGAATTAGAAGGAACCACAACTCAAAATACACAACTATGTACTGGGGTGCTTTGGGGAGAAAAAAGGAAAAATAAAATCTTAAAAAAAAAAAACAAGACTTGTAGGGGAGAAAGAACATTTCCACTACCCACTCTAGGTCCTTCTGGCTGGGCTACGAATTAAACTGACAGACAGAATAACAGGAGAAAATCAAACAAAGCTTTATAACATGTGTACATGGGAGAGACCCAGGAAAACTGAGTAACTTGCCAAAATGACAGAGGTTCTCATCTTAAATACCAACTTCAGCTAAAGACAAAGGAGGATGTTGGGTGTGGTCATTTGAGTCTTCAAAGCGGAGGAAGGCAATTCACATGGAGAAGGAAAAGCAAATGTTTGATAAATAGAACTTTGATAAGAGTGGGCTTAGCAAGGATCCTCCCTGTCTACCGAAACCCAGAGTTCTCCATGGTGATGGTCTGTCCTGGGGACAGGCCTTTATTTTAAATTCCTTTTAGGTAGTTATGGGGAAGGTCAAAGTTTCTTTCAGAGTATTTTGTTCTTAAAAATAATCAGTGCAAGGCAAAGAGACAGATTTTGGAGTAGCCAATTCTGATCTCCCACAGACTTCAAGGCAGATCAATGTTAATCAGTATAGAATTTGTTCTTGTTGCCAATCTAGCAACCCTTCCTCCCTTCTTATAAGAGATGTCTTCCTTGGCCACAGCAGAGTTCATGTGACCCAGGAGGGGCTAATCACTGGACCTCAACTCCCTAGCCTTAGTGATTGAGTCAAGGGTAAGCATGTGACACAACCAAGTCAATAAGAGTTTTTCCTTGAAGTTTTTAACAATGGATCTAGAAGACAGCAAAACTTCACTTCTCTCTGATTGTGGTGCTGCTGGATTATGAGGCTAGCTGCCAGCAGCCAGGTCCTCGATCGAGCAAAGGAAAGAGTAAAATATCAATCAGTCAGAAGTGAGGACAAGCGGCTGAGAGAGAGTCTTGACAGCCCTCATCCTAACTGCCTTTCGGTGAATTCCACCATTGTTCTTCTTCTTCCCAGTGTTCGGCTCAGAGGTTCAATAAATTCTCTGTCTCTCTCTTTCTCTCTCTCCCCCTCTCTTTTTCTGTCTCCCAGCTTCCTCTCTTTGCTTAAACTAATTTAGGTGGACTTTCTCTTGCAACCAAGGTAGTTCTGAATTAAACAAATGCTAAATTTGGTCATTTAAACTAAAAAACATTTCTTAAATGAACAAAAATCTGAAAGTTATGGAAGTTCAAAGGAAAGAGAAACAGAGAGAAAGAGAGTGAGGAAGCAGCACTGTCCCAAGAATCTAGGAGGGACTTCATGGTGATGAGGCTTGAGCTTGACTTTGAAGATGATGGATTGTGAAAACATAAAGGGTGGGGATGAGGGAGAGACTTTCAGTGAAATAAATAGCACGGGACAAGGTAGGAAAGAGGGAATGAGCGTGACATAAAAGTGGGAACACTATTATTTCAGCATTGTTTTCTTATGGTTGATTTCATCTACTGATTTTCAAATAGAAATTCTCTCAGGGTGTGGGCTATTTCTTTTGCATCCCTCCCATCACCAGCAATCTCTATCATAGTTTTATACTAATTCCAAGATTGATAGTACTGGTATCCTGGAAATACTCAGTGCTATTCTCACAGTTTCCATATCACTGAGAAACCCATTCCCAATAGGGAGTTGATCATGCTAAGAGTAGTCATAATTTGAGTTTCATAACATCTTACTCTCTATGATTTAAAAGCTCTTCCTATAAGCCACTAACCCAACAATCGTCAACATCTTCCAAAATTCCTTTAGCTTTTATTTGGTGCATGGTAGGCCTGAAAAATTTTAAAACTCTTTTTGGGTTACATTGGGTTTTAAAAATCTAATCATAGATTCATGAAATCTATGAATTCTCTCTGGAGAAAAATGTGTATATACACATTAACAATTTCTGCACAGGGGCAAGCCTGGTGGTGTAATGGTTGGGTGTGCATGCTCTGCTTTGGCAGCCTGGGGGTCACGGGTTTGGATCCCCAGTGGGTAACTACACACCATACATCAAACCATGCTGTGGTGGCGTCCCACATATGAAATAGAGGAAGATTGGCACAGATGTGACCTCGGCGACAATCTTCCTCAAGTAAAAAGAGGAAGATTGGCAACAGATGTTAGTTCAGGGCTAGTCTTTCTCACCCCCCCAAAATTTTTTTTTGGCATAAAACTCCAAGGGATTTTCACCTACTCCTGAGACCCATTCATAGACCCCTAAGGATCCACTGACCCCTGGTTAAAAATCCCAGTGTTAGGGGATTTATTTTGGCCTTAGTATTTTAGTTACATTACAACATCCTTGTACCTAGAACAGCTCATGTAGATCTTTTTTTGCTGGTTTTCATTCACAATGCTTTGTCTTCCTGCATTCTTGGTTATTTTTTACTGTGACCTGCTCATTTTCCTTGGGAAATTATTTGCAGGACTTTTTTGAGGCCTAGATTAGGGATGCATTTTTTCAAAGAGGATTAGTGTTTGCTTCTGCCAGGTACTTAGAAACTCTACCAGTTCAGGACCTTTTTCACTTATATTAACGGCTTAAGATTTTTTGACCATCCAGGTGATGTGAATTTGGGCTGTTGAGGTGGGCTGAGAGGCAGCCTCCAAAAAGATATGCACACTTCCTAACCCCAGAACTTATGAATGTGACCTTATTTGGAAAAAGGGTTTTTGCAGATGTAATTAAGCTGAGGATCTTGAGATGAGATCATCCTGGATTATTTAGGTGGGTCCTAAATCCAATGACAAGTGTCCTTATAAAAGATGCACAAAGTCAGGACACATGCAGTGGAGGAGTCAGAGATTAGAGTGATGCAGCCACAAGCTAAAGTGTGCCAATAGCCACTAGAGACTGGAAGAGGAAAAGAAAAGAGTCCCCTCCTGGGCCTCTGGAGGGAGCACAGCCCTGCTAACACTTCGATTTCAGACTTCTGGCTTCCAGAACCCTGGGAGAACAAATTTCTGTTGTTTGAAGTCATTAAGTTGTGATATTTGTTACAGCGGCCACAGGAAACCAATACAGGCTCCAAATCCACAGAAGGACCGGCCTGTTATTAAAACTTCTTAGGACTTGTCCCCTTCCTGCCCTGCCTAGCACCAAGACAACATTCCTTGCTGTCCTCTAGGGGTAGAGAATGTCAAAAACCGTGAAGGCTATTTTACCTATAAGTTAGCCTGCCAGAGTTTCACGGATGCTGGCAGAAGATGCAAGATTCCTGGGTCAGAGACTAAGGAGAGTTTATTACTCACAGAAACAGCACTAGCCAGAGTATCAACATTTGTGTCAGTTCCCTGCACCTCGATGCCCATAGAGTGACATGAAGAGGACCAAATAATACCTGCACACACAGTGGGTTTTATTATAGGAAAGAAACTTTGAATTTTGTGAACGGAGTCTTTTACATTGCTCAGTAAACCTGCCTGCCTTCTGTACGGCAAGGAGACATTATCTTTATTCTATTGCATAGTAAGTCTGCATGCCCTTGGCTCTGGCGGGAGACACCGGCTTTATTTTCTAAGGCTGTAAGCAAATCTGTTCTTTGCTCTGGAGGGAGAAACTATACTTCTAAGGCTCTTCGTTATGCAAACACCCTTGAAAAAATAATCCAGAATGCAGGTAGTCAGTGCTTCTTCTCAAAAGATGTGCAGAAATGTAAGAGATCCGGAGAATTGTCTCCCAACAGAGAAGAGGGGAAGAGTGGGTTGGATTAATTCTAATTCACTCTTGCTCTGAGGGTGTATTAGTTACTGATTGCTGTGTAACCCAATCTGCTCTAGCACCAGAAATGCACTATGGCAGCTCATGTATAACTGCCTGATGGTAACATAAACAGTAACAAAAGGTTTGGAGGATTCCTTACATGAAATGTGCAAGGAGAGAAATGTGCCAGCTTCAAAGGGGGTGATGACCTGTGTTTCACACACTACTGAGAGATTTAGTACAAGTTATTGCAGCCCATTGTCCTGCAAGGTTCTTTGAACTGCCTTGCAAGGAAGTTACAAAAGAATTCTCAAACTACTTTGAGCAACCCTAACATTGTTTAAACAAAGGCAGGGTGTGGCTTCTCAGGGTGACTATTTTGAAGAAGGCCTCGCTTACTTGGTCATAGGGTTCGGTATGATTGTTAAACAGCAAAACAGTAAGCTCACTGGTTTATAATTCACTCTCTTATTTACTGAGAGCCCACCAGCACTGACAGTCAGGGAGAAGGCAGGCAGAAATTCAGACAGGGGATAAAATAAGAGAATACAAATGGTACCTGGGACCTGTCCTTGCCTGATGGCACATTCCCTCCTACGGGGTGTCAGCAGTCAGCGCTTTGCTCAAGGCTTAAGTGGAAGCAGAAGGAATTAGACTTTGGAAAACCTCACTGCAGCCCCTGTCATTGGTTTTTATTTGTTGTCTCCATATTTGAGGTGCTGTCTGGGTGAGGCAGCTCTCCCACCCCTCTTTGCCTCAGCAGAGTATTTTTCCACCTGCCAACCTACACAGCCCCTTCAGAGCCCTTTTGGGAATGGAAGTGCTCAGACCAAGATCCAGTTGCATCTTTGTTCTCCCGAAATGCCTGCTTTCTACTAGTTCCATTGATTCCCTTGGTATGAGACTGAACTCTATAGAGGCAGAAAACCAGTAAAGCAGAAGCAGATAAAATGCAGGTATAGTCGATTGAGCTAAGAGAGAGAGAGAATCCAAATTGCCTTTGTTAATTGAAGTAAAACATTTCTGATCAGTACCTAATCTGGAACAAATCCAATCCTTGAGATGTGAACTTTCTAAGAAGAAGAAAACTTCTTTTTTCCCTTTTTATTTTTGAGAGCCAAGCACATGTTTCCCCCTGCGTCAGCAAGCAGGGCAAATGCTGAATTTAAGGCAACCAAAGGACGTGAACTTGAACTAAAGCTTGAAAATATAGACAGTCTTAGATGGAATCTCACGATTAGGAGACATTTTGATATAGAGCTGAACGTAAGTCTTTTCTCCTCCAAGGAACCAGTTACCCTTTGTTCTGGGAGCAGAAAGGGATAGTCTACGTTTCCCAGGGTGAAAAAAAAATTTTAAGGCTCCATGAGCAAAAATCACAGTTTTCCCAAGACTTGTATTTCGGTTCTTTATCTTGGGGCAGGGAGGACATTAGACCTTGAATCGAAAGGTATGTTTCTAAGGGTGAAGGTGTCTCCAGGGATGGTACTTGTAGGCTTTACTTAGAATTCTCTAGACATGCACAATGACCCTTGATGGCGGTGGGTTAACTTGTGGTCCAGTGGTATTGTGAGTGGTCACACGCAAAAGACCGAAACAGGCAATTTAGAAAAGAACCTGGCCACTGTTTCTGCACAGATCCTAGAACAAGACAAAAGGGTCTTTAAGCACTTACTCTGCTCCAGATCAGGATGTGGAACCTTCAGAATGAGGCCTGAGAGAGCGGGCTAGCCCAGAGGGCAGGGCCCAGCCCCAGCTGGATAGTCAGTGTGGGATAGCCTCTGGACCAGCTAAACTAGGAGCACAATGGAACTTTAAAGAGCATCTGAGCACCATCCTTATTTCACAATAAGGGTCAGTGAGACCTGGAGATAAGTGTTTTACCCAAGGCTTTGTGGTCCCTGTGTTAGTTTGGTCCTCCAATAAGCAGACTCCAAGACAGGATTCACCATGTAGAGATTTTATTAGAGAAAACACCTAAATGTGGGAAAATGAGGAGAGAGCTGGAGAAGACCATAATGCAAGTCTGATCTGAGTGGAAGGCTGAGTGGAAGTGTCTTAGACTGCTATTCAGTCCAAGGAAGGTTCGGCAAGGCTGTGTACATTGGGGGAAGCCCAGCCAAGGTTGGCTGAGAGAGGAGTCTTGTGTCTCCCAGGCAGGGGATTACCTTAGAATCCCTACCACATCACTCACTGGCCAATAGCAGCCCATGGGATGTGTGGCCTCTGTGCAAGGCCAACAATGGATTTCAGGAGCAGCAGCTGGGAACCTTGGGCGATTATGCTCCCTGTAGTTGGAGGTTGAGTGATACATTCTCGCAGCCACCTTAGTGCAGTTGATCTTGGAGTCACAATTAGTACTCATCCTCTCCCTCCTCCACTATCCATTCTAAATTCCCTCACCCCCAGCTATCACCTTGGCAGGTCTTGGTGGCTTGCTTAGTGGTATGACCCAAACCTTCTTTCCCAGGGGTATCTGAACCCTTGATAACATGCTCTTTTCATAACAGGCTAGAGTTGCAGCTCATGTCTGCTCATAGTTACAGAGAGGCAAGGGAGTACCGAGTGACACCCTAGTGGATCACCCGGATTCCACACATATTCCTCTCTGCCTCCATCAGTGAAAGCATCCCTCTGCCCTCTGGATTACCTAGGTGAATAACCCCTGCCAATATAATCATTTTTCTCCTCAACTACTGGTCTTTGGGCACAAGGAGTTCAAAGCACACTGGTGGCTTAATGGGACCCCTTCAATGGGACAGTTTCTGTGTCCCCTGCCAAGAGTGGACCCCTTTGGTAGACCAGGACCTTCAACTAGGCAGAGTTCAGAGTTGCAGGCACAGGAAGCCAAAGATCCCCAGTGGGTCATTGGCAGTGATGATAAGTGGGGCCACTGTTGCTTCCACCCCTTGGTTTCTTAACTCATGCATCCTTCCTACTGGAGACACAGTGCCATATAGATATCTCTGACTTAATCATACTGTACCCTGAAGGATGCACTCCATCCTTTCTAGAGTTTCCTCTGAGCTGGCACTTCTGCTCCATCTCTAGAAGGCTGATCCAGCGTTCTGGGAGGTAGGCTATTCCAGTACAGATCACCAACTCAGCTCCCTGAGGAGAGACCCAATTGGAGAATGATATGCTAGTGTCCCCCTTTTTCAGTACCCCCAATTTTCAAGAATGATTTATTTGACTTTAGAGAAGATATAAGATTATCCGTAATTTACTGTAAAATACCATACACAGTATGATATATACATGGATGCTGGTGTTAAACTCAGGCAAGTTAGTGAACATTTGGAGTACACTAATTAGGAACTCACACTCTCGGGATGGTGCGTTTACTTTTGAAAACTCTAATGGTCACTACAAGCCTTCAATTATTATGCTGGATGACCTCCAGGTGCATTCTACGTGTTCCATGCTGCTCTATGTGGGCGCTAAGAGCTGACCTTTGTGAACTACATCAACATAGCTCCCTTGCCTCTGGCTTCCCATAGGGTTCAGCTAACGAGAGGCACAGCAGGAGATTGGAAGCTGGAACAGAGAGAGGCTGAGGTATTTATCCCTCCTCCCCACCCACAGCTGTAGCCCAAGCAAGTGCTTTTGGTCTACAGATTGGCAGTGGCAACATTCCTCTATCTAAGGCTGCAGCTGCTGTTGGGGGAACCCTCTGCTTCAGCTACAGCTCCCTCCGGGTTCTGAGAACCTCTTCTTCCTATGTCCCTTCAGGCTTAGCAGAAGAGGAGGCAAAGGCTCTCATGGTTTCTAGCCCTGGGCGCTTCATCATCCTTTGTTAGTTTCTCTTAACCCTGTCCACACCTTTGCAATAGTCCCTTCATTATACTTTCTTTCATTCCTTTGTTTGAGCCTGCTGTTTTCTGCCAGGGCTTTGACACATAGAAATACTTTTTTTTTTTTTTTTTGCTGAGAAAGATTTGCCCTGAGCTAATATCTGTTGCCAGTCTTCCTCTATGTTGTATGTGCTTTGCCACCACAGCTTGGCCACAGACAAGTGGTGTAGGTCTGCACCTGGGAACTGAACCCGGGCTTCTGAAGCAGAGTATGTTGAACTTAACCGCTAGGTCACTGGGGCTAGCCCCAGATAGAAATACTTTCATCTTCAACCAACACTAAAGGGTTTATTAATTAGCATAGGGATTTTTGGAAATGATTTTTATGTTGGTGAAATAAGCAGTGTTCAAGATATGTGAATTAATTGTCTAGAAATGATCTACAGGCACCTCTGCCCTTGCATAAAGAGAATATAAGAACCTAGAAAGTTTAATAGCCTATTCCTCCTACATTGCCATTTTGGGTCCAAGATCCGCTTAACTATTTAGCCCCTTAAACATAGGAATCTTGGTGATGACTAGACAGTTGGCTGAAACTTAGCAGTAGAACACTCTTGCGTTTGTAAGACAAGGACGTTTGTAGGGACTTTATCAAGTTTATAGGCAGATTGGATAAGTGTGTTTTATTTTGTTATGCCTGCTTGCTTATAAAAGTTAGTATATATTTCACAATTTAGCTAGGACTTCTGGATTGTGGAGTGAGAGGCCGTTAGTCCACACTATCTCAAACCATTACAAGTTTCCAATACGTGAAAAAGAACTCAATAATTATGAACCATCAAACTGGCTTAGCTCAGACCACAATAGAGAGAAACACTCTTTTCTCCTCCCTAATAGGGAAGGAAGAGAATCCCAAACACTGGATCTCCCCAAAGACCAAAGGCCACAGTGGCATTGCACTTCCCATGCCCTTTGCGGGCTCAGTGTGAGAGGACGGAGGAAAGATTTACCATTTCTTAGTAAAAGCTGGAGGAGGTGCCTGGCCCCATATGTGATAGCTCTTTTCAGAGGATGGGGTACATCTGTTTTCATCTCTGGGCCCTCATTACCATTTGGGGCCCCAAGTCACGTCAACACCTTGTTATGAGTTATATTTTCAAATGCAGCAATTCATTGCAGGAAACCTCCAGAGAGATCATATTTCTAACATCCTCAAATTGCCAGAGAGAAAAAGAGACCAGAGAGGCTGAGCCACTTGTCCAAGGCCGCTTCTAGTTGGTGGACAGAGATGTAAGTGGAGCCCAGGGTGCTCACCACATCCAGTGATCTGTGCTGCTGAGCTGACTGTGTGGGGAAGCTGGTATAGTATGTGTTGACGAAAATAATCCATAACCAATCTATAAATGAAAATTTGGGTGAGTTTATTCTGAGCTGAAATCTGAGGACCATGGCCCGGGGCCTTTTTTCCCGAAGGAAGAAAGGGCACCAAAGAAGTGAGGTGTACAGAGTGGTTATATACCCTCAAACAGGACGTTTCACATATGATTGAAATGTCCCTCCCACAAAAGTCACAAGATTGCCCTGTCAGCACAGCGCTTGATGGACACAGCAGGTAGTGGGTCTGCTATCTCAGAGGGCGTAGCAGGAGGCAAGTCTATTGTCTCGAGCTGGGCCGTCACAGGTGAGCACAGCAATCAGTTTCTAGCCTAAGGAAAGATGCTTAATCCTTAAGTAGATGCCAACGTTGGGAGGGGGAGGGAAGTTGCACCTTTATCTCAAGGGCCTTTGTTCTTGTCATAGGGAATATCTAAAGCAGATATACAATGCATCAGTCAGGCCCTTTTGGAAAGACAAGGTCAGGCTGAATTAGGTTTATACCAAATGGCTTCCTCATATTCTCCAATATATCCTATTGCTTGCCATTTTTATTTGTCATAAGTTTAGGTGCAGGGATCGAATGGAGGCACATTCTTCCATCACCAAGTTTTCACCAGGAGTTACTAGGTGCCCAGAACTGTGCTGTATGGGTCAGGTGAAGAAGAGAAGACACAGTCCCTTCCTGGAGAGTTCACTGTCTGCATGGGGGCTACCATTAACATGGGAAACAGCAATGAACTAGCTCACTGGGGTGGGATAGCTCTAAGAATGCAGGAGGACAAATAAAAGTAATTCAGGAGATGGTTAAAAGGTGCTCCAACTCAGACAGACCCGGTCCAAAGCCTAGCTCTCCTCAGGCGAGTCACTTAGCCTTTCTAAGCCTCACTTTGCCTATCTACATGGGAATAATAAGTGCCTCTGTCACAGGATAGTGAAAATTAATTAATATTTTGTCTGCTAAAATGTTCACAGAGGGCTAGAAAACATGCTAAATGCTCTCCTGGCTAATTAGTATTAATTAGTTGATTTATTTAGTAATCAAAGAAGAGAGGGATACCATAAGCATACATCTTGTTTCTTGATCAAGCCTCAAGGTGCATAAGATATTCCAAAGGGGTCCATTCAGGGGGTGGAACAACCTTGAAGAATGCTAATTAGAAGACTGAAATGACCTGCCAAGTCAACATGATCTAGAAACAAGATTAGCCAAGGGTCAACCAATTACTGTAGGATTACTCGCCCGCTGCTTTGTCAGGGTTGACTGAGTGTCGCGCAGTATTTGAGGAGCAGTAATCACCTGCTTTCCCACACACTTTCTCATCCTCAGGCTTTCCATCTGCCACAGATGCAAGCACAGAGCTAGAAATGACCAAGAAATCCATTTTTAGAGTTGCCTTTACAGAGCAACCCCTAGGCATCTATGTAGAAATGGATTAATTGTTCTTAAAGTGTCTGTTTGCTAATCTCTTTACCAGCTTCACAAATATCCCAAGGTCACATTTAATCTGAGATCAGCCGATTGTAATGCAACTCCAGGGTGATAATATCAGGAGGCCAGAGTGCCTCTTGTCTCTGAGTTCTTCACAAGTTAATTAAAAAGGTAATCCCCAGGCTACTCGCACATACAGAACCAGAAAGAGAACGCTTGTCGTCTAGCTGAGGGACAAATTCTTCCATATAAAGAAGATGGAGTCAAAATTTCCAGAAGCCTGAAAAGGCAACTTTGGCTCAAAAGCCAATATGATTTCAGTCTGAAAGATGTTTTCACCAGCAAACAAAGCCTTACTCTGGTGTAGACACTGCAAAGAGCTCTGTGGTTCAGAATCAGTTAGAAAATTCAGGATATGAAACAATTGAACTTTGCTTTAGTTAGATGCATAATCTGACTATTAAAACATAGAAAGAATTTATAGTTCTCTTAGTACCTGCAACGGTGAGAAACCTGCGGCTTTTTAAACAGACTATGAATTGACACTGACATAACAAAGGAAATAAGAATGAAACTTATTATGAAGAGAAATTCCATCCCTGGATTTCTCCTGAGAGCTTCCTGACTTACCATCCACTTCCAAAGAAAGTTTTTACTTAGAAGAGTCTGGCTTTGTCTAATCATTAGTAGTGCAATTTCTCCTGAGAATCCTATTTTCTCAGCTACCTAAACCAAGGTTAACTTTAAAAAATCAGTGTAATAACCACTTCACATCCATTAGGATAGCTTCTACCAAAAAACCAGAAAATGACAAGTGTTTGCGAGAATGTTGGAGATATGGGGACCCTTGGCGGGATTGTAAAATGGTGCAGCTGCTGTGGAAAACAGTAGGGAGGTTCCTCAAAAACTTAAAAATAGAACTACCACATAATTCAGCAATCTCTCTTCCGGGGATACACCCCAAAGAAGTGAAAGCAGAGTCTTGAAGAGAGATTTGCATACTCATGTTCATAGCAGCACTAAGTGCAATAGCCAAGAGGGAGAAGCAACCCAAATGTCCACCAATGATGAACGAACGGAGAAACAAAATGTGGTGTACACATAGAATGGCATATTATTCAGCCTTAGGAAGTCCTGTCACGTGTTACAACATGGATGAACCTTGAGGACACTATGCTAAGTGAAATAAACCAGTTGCAAAAAGACAAATACTATATGATTCTACTCACATGAGGTACCTAGAGTGGTCAAGATCTTAGAGAGAAGAAGTAGAATGGTGGTTCCCTGGGGTTGGGGGAGGGGGAAACAGGAACTGTCGTTCAACAGGGATAGAGTTTCAGTTTTGCAAGATGAAGAAGTTCTGAAGATCTCCTTTACAACAATGTGAATACACTCAACACTGCTAAGCTGTCCACCTAAGAAAGGGTTAAGATGATAAATTTTATGTTATGTGTTTTTTACCACAGTAAGAAAAATCAGCACCTCCAAAAGCTAAGATGGATTGACAGATG